TCCTGAGCAGCTAATACATGGGACAGTCATTTGAGGGGTTTAAAAATTTAAATTTGGAACCATATTTAACTTATAATCAAAGGGGATAATGTAACTTTTCCATTATAATTCTATTTTTAAGTGGCATGTTCCATGCCACACTTGACTGAATACCTTTCTTTACCTCAGATATACTTATGTCTGAAGAACCTCATTTGCTTTTAATAAATGTTTTCCAATACAGAACATACTCTTCAACTTTCTCCTTCAAATTAACAGAAATCTCTTACAACTTTGAAGGTACAGCCATATATTTTCACTCTCTCCATCTTCTTTGCACCATTCTATTTTCCTCTCCCCTTTTTTTTCTATTTTGTTTTAAACTCTATAATTAGCCTTGGTTTTCATATAACCACTGATTAAATTGGGAAGAAAGAAAAAAAGATCTCTTGTTTTCTCATATTACATAAAGAAATGCTAGGAAAATATGTACTTATGTGCTTGCACAAGTATGGTCAGCTGACCTTCTGTTTTCTGGTTTAATACGCATTTTTTCTTATGAAATCATGAGCATTTTCTTTTCATAAAGATTACATGGTCAGCATAAGCGCATATGTCATTACACCTTGGCCTTGAGTTGTGCCTGCAATGAAAAGACAGTTTACCTCATCCTATATTCGTGAATAAAAGTAGTCAAAATAATTTCTTCAAGTATTCCTTGCCAAAAATGCACTTCTAAGGAGATAGATCCTATAGAGGAATGGGCTTTAGTTTGCTAAATACTGATGTCTAGCAAGAAAAAAATGATAAAAGAGTTTGGTCAACATGTAATTCTTTTGATACTTCCCAAATGCTTTTGCTTGGCCTGTTGTATAACACGTGTTAGTGAAGGGATAGCATCCCTGTGCAGTGGCAGGCATCCCTTCGGCCAGGGGCTCGTTACTCAATACTGCATCAGAGATTATCAGTCAGACAGAGAGGTTCAGATCTCATTTCTTCAAGAAGTTATTTCAATCCATTCTCAGGCAAGTGGCTCCCTCTCCCATTATACTTGGATTAAGAAACTGAGATGAATGCTTTGCAGCTAAATCTCTCTCGCAGATCAGATTAGGGAAGACACAGCTCTCATTCTGTGATGGTTCAGCTCAATAGAGTTTTTGGTTCAGCTCAATAGAGTTTTTATTGAATGTGTATTTAAAAAGAAAAATCACCAATATCTGAATACAAATATTCATCCTTTGAAAAATGTTAAATGCGTCAATCTTTGGTATATTTGCTTCAGTCGGTGACCAAACAAAAAAAAAGTTTAATAAGCCTAATGATGTACATGACAAAATCATTTTCTTAACAGCAGCCAAGACTGGGAACATGGTTGTAAGTGATGCGACAGATTTCTGTAAGAGCAGACGCCCATTTGAGCAGGGCCTGCCCTGCACATCCTTGACAATATATGCACTGAGCCAGGAACAGTGCTTCATTACCCTTCAAAACACACAGATCCTGGTCCTTACTGTAACCATGCTGTAAACATCTTAGGAAACATAATTGACTTAGAAATATGGAAGCTTCTCTAAAAGTTAACAAACTTTCCATTAACATGGCAAATGTTGCATATGGAATCCAATCCATTATATATTCTAAAATCTGTAAAGTTTAAATGACCAAGTGTTCAAATCAGCTTCAGACAACATCAAAGTGGAACATGGATATTGTCTGTAAAGAGGTAATAGGTTTTACCCAGCACAGTCTTCCAGGTAATTTTTAGTCTTTCTGTTACACTATAATCACTCAAAACTAGATTTATGGATTCTGGGTAAGCACACAAAAGCACAACATTTACTTGCAATAGCTGATTTTCTCACTCCTTCCTTTCTTCTCTCTCACCAAGTAGATTAAAAACAAAAAAAAATGGAGTTGAAGTATGCTGAAAAATATCTAGCAGAATAAGTCCATGAAAACAGCATCTGCCTTTCTATAAAAAGTGCAACTGTGACACCTTTAGCGGTATTGATTTTAGCCAAGATCCTTTCTTATAACTGTATTTCCTCTTTGCTAAATCCTCTTCAAGAATGATTATGTCTGATTTTCTTATTACTCTAAATGCTTGAATATTACCAGTCTTCACTGTAAGGCATTTCGATTGGCAAACGGACAAATAAGCACAGGAATGAAGAATGTCAAAATAAACCAATATCACTTTAGCTAAATAAAAAATGAGAAGATTTATGAAAGATTTTCAAGCTGTCTCTCTAAACTCACATCATGCCTCAAAAAAAAAATGCAATATAATCCCTATAGCAGCTAAAAATGGAAAAAAAAAGTTTAGCCCACAGAGAATAATTAATCTTGAATAGCTGATGTCAGAGTCCTTATGTATAATGCAAACGTGTACTTCTGTGCCATCTCACAACGTGTCTCTGAACAGTTATTGAAAAGGTAAACTAGTCTAAGCTCACTCCAAATAGATAAATAAATCATATCATGCAAATCTGCCCAAGGGACAAAGCATTTGATAACATCACTGACAAGCCAACTATTCACTGTAAAACTGATGAAATAAAGAGGATAAATTCTTCACCCATAGTAGAGACCGAACAAAGAGGAAATTTAGGAAAATATTTAAGAAAATATTTGTTCCCCATTCAAATTTTTTCTTCCAAAAGAGTTTCATGATACAAAAGCTAAGAAGGTTAATTTTAAAAGTATAAAAGGACAGTTTCCAAATATCTGCTACTAGTGAAATGAGTTAAAAAAACATAAAATATGATACAGCTACAGAACAAATTTTCAAAAGATTGGTGCTAAGTTCCCAATACCCTAAAACACAAGACAAATCATTTGTACAGTTTTGATTTATAGAAAAATAAAAAAGCAATGTAGAAGGGCAAGAACTATAATAAAACAAAAGGAACAGGTTTCTGTATGGGATGTGACAAAATATAATCAGAAATGTCAACCTGGAAGAGAAGCAAAGCAAGATGTTATGGAAATCTATAAATTCATGAATGTGAATCACGAGCAATGGCTCAGGAACTCTTCCAATAGTAAAACTCTCGGACACCCAGGGAAAATAAGAGGCAGAGAAGGAAGCATTTTCATACACTGATTCAAAGCCCTACCTCCAAATTTTGCAGCTCTAAACAACAGAAATGCATCCAAGAACAGACGCAGAAAACAATGGATGAAAAATATGCCAAGGGCATAAAATGACACCACCTCTTGCTTGGTCTTTACATTGTAAATTGCTGGGAATGTGAGAGCATCCCTTGCACATCTCACTATATGCTTTATGTATGTTAGTGAGAAACATCTTGGTCCCCTCACAGAGACAGGATCTAGAATTAGATGAACTTTAGACTGACTTGCAAGAGATTTTTATATTCAGCCTTCCATTTCTTTTTATGACAAACTATAATTTTATTATACTCACATAAAACTGCATAAACTTTTCAAAAAAGTGAAGGTAATTCTCTTTATGACTCAGACAGCTATATAGTCTAGAGAAAATTAATGATACTTAGCCAAAAAAAATTGGAACAAATTATAACCTATAGGTTGTTGATATAACACATTACATGCAAGGAATGTGCAACTGATGGAACTGCTTAAAACTAATTAATATTTTATTTTATTTACTGTACTATGTTAGTGTGATACCAGGTTGTACACAAATGTATGCTGTAATTTAGCCTAGAATATATATAGTGTATCATGCACTGTGTAATATAAATACTACACTATTATGCGCCCTATGAAGTACATAACGATATCTCTGCTAACATAGCTTAAGCTGGCACTAAACTGGAAAAAAAAGTGAGGAGAGGAGCTTATTATGTTTAGAACCATTTTCTACCAACAACTGAACAGACAGAAGAAATAAAGGACTCCTCTACCTTCTTGGAGCTGCTGAAAATGAATGCTTATTTGACTAGTATGTAACTATGTAACTGTGAAGACCCAAAATTAAGTAAATTTAACACAGCCTACCGGAAAAATAGGCCATCTTATTTGAAAGGAAAGAATTTACATAAAAAGTAATCTAAGATAGAGATAAAAATTCTTACAATCGGTCAAGATTAGAAGCAAGCTGAAAGACCATGCACAGCTTAGTCTCTATTCATCAGATAGCGCAAATATCCTGTAGCGTTCAGAATTGGATTGCTTTCATGCTTTCTTGCAAAAATAGTTTTTGCATTACATGATAATGAATAATAACTGTGATGTGATTATCAGCCTTATTTCCTTATTTTCTGTGAGTAAAGAATGTCTTTGTCTAACACTTCTCATCCCATGTTGCGGCTCAATAGACAGTTTCTTCCTCCATCACTCCTCAAAGAGCTTATTCCCAAAAAAGTATCCTTGAACATTTGCTGAATGCCTTACGAAAAGATCCATAAACAAAGGGGCACAATCACTGTCATAATTTTCCTATTTCATCATTGCATATTACTTACCAAATCTCCTCCAAAACCATTTTCAAAGTATTGCATTACCGAATGAATCTTTAATCTTGTTGCCAAAGGCAAAGGTTGTTTGCCTGCCAGCAGCGTCACCTGGTATTTCTTTACTTTATATTTTCATTTGAACTGAGTGTGGTGCTGACCTGGTCACATCCACTCAAATGCATGAAGCAATTAAGCACTTTTGTGGCCACATGCCTCCCTAATGAGGACCATCCCAAGATTTTCATGGGCCTTCCTCTCACAAATGAAGATGGACATCTTGTTCCTTCTCAAATGCACTGTGAGATATGAAAAGATCTCACTAAGCCACTAAGACCACTAAGCCACTTTCACCATTAGGAATCTGAATTATAAAATAACATTGCAAAAAAAAAATAGTTAAGAATTCAGAATTATCATCCAAGAATCCTGTAACTCCTGCCTCATTTGTTCATTCAGCAGTTGCCACAGGAATATGCTGGCTTAAATAATAAATCACCAAACTAAAGACATACATCCATTATTGCCATATTAGGCCCAAAAAGCAATGACCATTCACAGTGATTTATTCACTTTCATTCAGAGGAGAGTCATGGATCAGTTTTCAGAAAGCAACATCACAGTGCTCCAAAATCTTTCAAGGACAAGGACCGTCAGAGATGCAGACTGTACAGGCACAATTCATTTTGGAAGAGATCTGGAGATAGAGAGAAACAGGCAATCAAGTACACTCAATGAAAATACCAAACAACAGGTTTAAACCTGCTATTTGAAATATTACCTGCCCTAACTGCTAAAAGGACAAGGAAGTCCTTATTCTGTGTATCATAAAATTCATTACAGAATTCATATTATCATGATGCTGTGAGGCCAGAAGTCTAACTGGGTCAAGAGATCTCCATCAAAATGAGAAGTCCTTTGAAAAAAACTCCCCCAAATCCAGAACATGCTGTTCTGACCTTCACCTCATTCACTGCAATTCCTCTTTTTCTCCTTAATACTGTTCTCTGAGAATTCTTCTTCACTTGAGAATCATTGAGCCACAAAATTTAAGTGACAGACATCCTCTGTTAGAAGGTTCAAACTAGAAACTCAATTTTAAAACCATTCTGCAGTGAAAAGTATCATTTTGCATGAGATGCATGGATTAACATTGCAAATTTTAGAAACATGATGATTGTATTATCATTTAATGATTTGCATTTTACAGCTAACTTTGTAAGAAAGCTTTTCTCCATTTTACACCAACACTGTGCCTGCTGACTTAGAACTACACATCTAACCATTTTAGAATGAAAATCGCACAAAAAAGTCTGCTCAGAAAGAGAAATTATCATATTCATGCCTTTCTAGATAAACTTTGCAGAAAGTTGGAGGAGATATAATTTGAACTGAAAAAGTTATTGTCAAATTTCCTGATTAAAGGGACATTTCCTTAAAATAGCAGAACTTGTTAAAAATATAAATGAGAAGTTGCCTAAAAGCAACAAAAACAAGTTATAGATCCAATAGTTCTAAGAAACAGATACAATAGTGTTAGCTAGCAGAGAGATTTATTTTGTATGTGCATATCTAGTCCATTTAAAGCCTGTAAGAAAAGAATAAAAGAGAAATATGTACATTAGAAAAGCAAAGTGGATAATGAAGAGCAATTTTCCAAAGATGCAAAACTAATCATTACAAAGACTATTCAAATACGGGTCTGTTGAACTAACAGGGTGTAAAGCAAGCAATTAAAGAATACAGACTCTTCAGCTTTCTGAAGCACCACCTCATTGCCCTCCTTTATGTTTCTCTTCAAAAGCATCTCTACCATGAGAGCTAGAGAAAGGAAGTATCCTAAAGCCATATCATAAGATGCTGAGATATTTAATTACGCTATTGCTTAAGAATCCATTTATATTCAGAGATTTTGTACAACAAGATAATTAGAACACCTCTGTGTATTTGTATCAGACTTTTTAAAGTCACAAGTTCAACGCCTTTAAGGCAGCATACACAATAAGAAAGCTTATCCTTTCCCAAAAACAAATTCAAGGACTAAAATCTCAAAATGATCCTTTACTAACAATTATAGTAGAGACCTTTAATCCCATTATCAAAATCGCTTTTGTTTTAGCATCTCAAGTTTTCACCACTTAAATCTACAGACTAGTGTAGCAGCAAATAACAGACCAAACATTTGGACTGCAAACACTGCTGAAAAAACTACTTTGTATCAGCAATTAGATGCAAAAAACATCTTTTGCAGGAGCCCTTTTGCAAGAGCCCTTTTAAGCACTTTTTTTGGTTTTGCCTTGCTCAGTAGTTAGTGGCCCATTCACTTTGGGGGGGGGGGGGGGGGGGGGGACACATTACCATCCTTACAGGTTAAGATCATTTGAAGGGGTCTGAGGTAGAAAACCAGAGATTTGGGGCACCTATACTTATCCATATATCCCTCTGCTGTGATGGGAATGCGGGGGTATGCAGGTAGCACATCTTTCTTACTTCAGTATGGTTGCTATAGTGAATATTACTTTATTAATTCAGTCCATACTAGATAGGTTCTTTCTTAACTGTTGAGAATATCAACACAGATTGAATAGAAAAGTGAACTGTGACAGATCAGTGTCTCTATATTTGTATTTTGTAAAAATTGAAATTGATAAAACACCTTTTAAAAAGGTGCCAGTCATTTCTGGAAATGACTCAATTCACTGAACAGGTTATTACTTTAACAACTAAAGCAGACATTCTCTCAAGTGAAATTTATGTACTGTGTCTACAATGCATTTTCACTTTTTTTTTTTTAATCTAACGTATTACACTGTTACCACACTTGCTGACGTTAATGTAAACCTACAGAGTGAACCAAGTTTTATAAATAGGTTTTTCTAAGCCAGGTTTTTAGGTGAAGCCTGAAGCCGTTAAATAAAGCAGAAATCTTTACTTTTGCAGAAACTTTGCATCAGAATTTCTTCCCTAAACCAACCCAGACCCCTCCAATTTTCAGAATGATGCTTCCAGTGTTTGCTCAGGCTATTTCTGTCACTATAACTGTGTAAGAAGCACCCTCCTAGAATTCACAAAAGAGGAAGGCAGCCATGGTCCTTACCTTCACAGTTCTACATCTAGACCTAAAGGCTGATATATACATTATCTTTCACTGGCACTATTCCATGTGCTTTCCTTAGCAAACTCATGAAGCACACCTTAAAGCCTAAGGATTTGACCTTTGTTCATGAGTCTTTGCTCATTCCTAACTTCTCCATCTGTACTTTACTGTCCTCCAAAATATCAGGTGGTTTGATAAACCTTGCATCTATCTTTAAGCAGGCCCTTGCATCACACACACTGCTCAGGCATGGGGCATCAGCTGGGGGTTGTCATTGAGTGGCAACTTGCACAAAGAGCCAGGGTGCTGGGACCAGGGGAGGTAGCAGCATCAAGTTTTGTGGCATCATCATTTGCGAAGATTTCAGAGTCCATACGTGAAGACCAAGACCACAAAGAAAGTATGAGGACTGCTTGTTGAGAAAGGATATTTAGCTGCTGTGAAAATTTTCCTGAGGGTGTTATGCGGTTCCTACTAATAGAGTGCCTACTTACCAACTAAGATGCAATGCTAGGATGAGGCTTACAAGACTAGAAATGAAAGATGGACAAAACGTCCAGGTTTGCTACCTTTACATTATTCCAAGCTGTTAGGATATTCTTCCCTGACATACTGAATTGGAAAGTAAGGATTTAAGCCGCTTCATTTAACCAATGCATAATGAGCAACAATGACTCATTTGCATAATGAGATAATGGCAGTTTCTTTGGTTATAATTTAAAATGACACTACCCATTTAATTTTTAAATAAATGTATTCCATGGTTAGTAGATGGGACAAAAAATACATACACTCACTGATTTATCATGTCTCATTTATGACAGTGTCTACTCAAAAGGCATCCTTCCTATCCCATGACAATTATTCATGTATATATGTGGAAATACAATATAGACATTTATACTTTCCCTTCAAGAAATTCCCAGAGAGGGAGAAAAAGGGTTTTATTTTTGATATTTCATCAACATTTCAATGTTTGCAAACGTAGTTATGCTAAATGAGAAGCCATACACCCAATATGAACAGCTTTGCTGGACAATTTTTAACTGCATTAAGTTTTTGTCCTTCAAACCTTTAACTAATTTGAACCTTGCTAGCCTAAGCGAAAAAAACTCCATGTCATTCCTGGTGTACATATATATAGAACACTTGTTTCAGTAGGTTTTTCTCAATATACACAGCACTTCACTGCACACTGTCACCTGGGAGAGGACAGCAGAACAAACAGCAGATGACAGATGTTAGTCACCTCAGCTAAGGGGCTAGTGGCAGACGAGCACATCGCAGAGAGACATGACCACAATATGACAACTCATACACACCAGCACACCCTGATAATTCAAAGCACAGCATTGGCTCACCCTTATGCAATCATGCAAGGTACAGTGACAGCTAATTTTCAGCTGATGTAATATGTTCTCTCCTGTTAGCTTCTACTCCTCCTCAGCCGTAACGTGGCACTAAGTCAGAAAAACAACATTTGTGCTAATAAATGAGTGGAATGTCCTTCCCTGAGTATTGATTTGTTGGCATGGAAAAACCCACACCTGTTAGCAAACTCTCCCATCCTCTGAAAAAGGGCAAATGCACCAAAACTGCCTCTTCAGAACAACCCCTGGTACCACTCATGGTACCAGTACAGGCAATCAGCTCCCAGTGCCTGGCGCATTCCTAGGTACTGCTTAGCATACAAATTTAGTAGCAGGGAACCAACACGTTACTCTTTGAAACAAACTCTTTGTTTTGTTGCGAGGCAATGCTTAAATATTTTAGCTGGGCTGTTGGCATCAAACCGGAGCCTTTGGTGAGTGAGCATCCCATCATCACTCAGCAGGAATGTCGCAATGCTGGCAGCCAGTTGATTACCATTTCAGTGACAGTATCTTTCACAACATTTTAATGCTATATATAAGAAAAAAAATGTGAAGAACATCTGTAGGTATTGCAAGTAACGGCTAAAGGTCACCGGCTGTGTTTGATCTTGTACCTATCACTGTTCCTTGCATATAATATACGCAGTGGAACAACCTCAAACACTTCTATATCTATTTATGCTTGTAAATCTACAAGGAGTAAGTCGTTATCTAGAATAATGAGTGAAAACACAGAAAAAGTGGGTGATTTACTGTGTCAAAAAAAAAAAAAAAAATCTCACTTCAAAAAGCAATAGGCCCCATGGATACAGACACTTAACAGTAGCAACTCATCAGTGATATTCCTATGTGGTATCTCCAAAGGTCAGATTCAGGAGGAATAATTTAGCTTAAGCAACAGGTCATGAAAACAACCTTTAAGTCACAAGCCTGGCAAGTAGCACTTCAGTGAAAGTTGCTAACTTTTTGTTAATCTTTTTTTTTTTTTTTCTATTTATTTTTAAACAATATACTTTTGATGTTCCAGGTTCTTTATTTTAGCTATTAAGGTAAAGCTATTAGGTAAAAGGGTTTTTTAAAGCAGTGATACCTTCAAAGTACAAGAGAAATTTTATTTTATTGAACGTGACCTCCCTGACTGAATTCATCCAGGTCGTCTTTAATCAACCCATGCTTTTCTCTATAAAATGATTCAGACAAATGACATATAGTACAACACTCTTCAGT